AATTTTATAGGATAAAAACCGTGGAAAATGAACTACTAATGATGAATGACATTTCTTACATCCCAGGAAAAACAGAGCTGAGGAAAAAACCAGCCTTGGCTCAGTCATGAGCCACAGAAGGAGTACTACAAGCACTTTTACATGTAGTCCTTGACATATGACTGGCCATTTAGCATCTGTTTGAAGTTATAACACTCTTCTCCAGAGCCATCTGCAATCCAGTTTTGAAGTTCTGACAGCCACACACATTCTGGGTGCGTTACAACTGACCTGTATTTACGGCAAGTTGCAGCATCCTGTAGCCACATGTACATTCTCCTGGTTTCTGGCAAAATAAAATCCCCATTGGGTACATTGGGTTCCCTTAATGACTGTTATAATTAGTGGACATTTAATAACTACTGTATTCACTTAATGGCTGCCACAAAACAGGTTATAAAACCAGGCAGAGTCCTATGGTGACCTGCTTAAAGACTCACGTGACCTGTGGTCATGATCAATTATGGTTGAGTTGATTTATACGTCTGTTTACACAGCAATTATCAAACTTCAGAGTATTTCCTTAAAATTGATATGTTATCTTCAACAGGACATTTCAGGTCTTCTCATTTTATGAATACATGTTTGTTCTATCTTTAAGTTACTTTGTTTGCTATGATATGTGAAACTAGCTACTGTTATCCTTCCCCTGCCCATCCCCCAAAGCTACCCAACATCTTCAAAAGAAAAGTGACTTTTTCATTCATATTCCCAACATGCAACATGCAAAATAGCAACATATTAGCAACATGCAAAATTTATCAATCTAGAAATAGAACAGTTAACAGAATTCCAGGATTTTTTTTCTCTACTATATGTTGAACCTCTATCACAACCCAATCATTCCAGGGTCATGTTGTCAATTTATAGAAATAAATCCTGAATCAGATGCATTTTGAATTGCTCTAGATGAAATGAGGATTCCTGCCTTTACAAGTTTTGCAAATCCCTATTCCTATCTATTTCTATTACACAAATGTTATTACATTTCTCTGAAGAGGTTTTGCAATGTAATTTAGCTTAAATCAGTTTTCCCTAACCAATTATTTTACCTGATTAAAGCCATTACATTCATTTTGTACAATACCCCCTAAGACAGCGATGGCAAACCTTTTTTGGTTTGCATGGCATAAGCAGGGGGAGCGCAGGGGGGTGTCGTGCATGGGTTTGCCGCACCCATAATGCAATGTATGACACCCCCCCCCAGCGTGCATGCGCACATGACAGTTGTGACCCCCCCCCAGTTTTTGCATGCTTTTTTTTTGCCTTCCCCAGGCTCTAGAAGCTTTATAGGAGCCTGGAGAGGGCGAAAACAGGCTCCCCCCCCCGGGAGGCCCTCCAGAGGCTTCAGAGTGCAAAAAAAACATCCTATGGGCATACCGAAGTCACTTCCGGGTTGCTTGTAGAGTCGATTTTAGCCCTCCAGAGCGTTCAGGAACCCTCAGGAGGCTCCCCTGAAGACTCCGTAAGACAAAAAAACAACCCTATGAGCAAACTGGACGTCACTTCCGGTTTGCTCGTAGGGTCATTTTTAGTTCTCCTGAGCCTCCAGGGAAGCCTCCGGAAGGCCCATGAAGGCTCCAGAGGGCTTAAACCGGCCCTACGAGCAAACCGGAAGTCCATTCCTGAACTTCCGTTTTCCCTGTACGGCCAGTTTTTTGCGCTCCAGAGGGCCTCCGGGGGGGNTTCACAGAGGCACTGGGTTTTATAAATATGAGCATGATAGTGTAGAATAATCATATCCAAGGACCAGTGGTGGGTTTCAAAAATTTTGGAACCTCTTCTGTAGGTGTGGCCTGCTTTCCGGGTCCACTGGTGGAACCTCTTCTAACCGGTTCTGTAGATTTGACGAACCGGTTCTACTGAATACGTGCGAACTGGTAGGAACCCACCTCTGGTCTGTATGTATGTACGTATGTGTGCATAGTGTCTATGATGAGAGTTTTTGACTCCTGACAATTGCCCAGACAAGCCTGCAGTTTTCTTAGCATGATTTCTAAAGTGGTTTTCCTCCTTCCTAGGGCTTAGACAGAATGACTATCCCAAAGCAACCCAAATGGTTTGTGCCTGAGACAGGACTAGAACTCACAGAAATAATATTTGGGATTTGAGCATGCGTACCATCCATAGACAAGATTTTATTTGACATGTAAACACCATGCTACTCCATTATACCTTCCATGGGTGAAACTGAAGTCAATACTGAATTTTACTCTCCTTGCCACTCTTACAGAAACCTATTTATGTTTCCATTGGGATGGCTATTCTGGAGTTTAAAAAAAAATACATTTGCTCCCATTCTGTAAAACTTAGGTCAAAGTTCACCAGGCGCAATGAAAGTCACACCCATTCACTGTTAGTGAAAATAACAGCGTGGCATTGATAGGGCACGCTACCCAGTGATATGCAGGATAACATTAATTCTGAGAATACATATTTATTTCCCGCCTTTTATTATTTTTACAAAAAAATCAAGATAGCAACAAACACATTCAACGTTACTTCCCTCCTCCTATTTGGAGACAGTTGAACTGAGAGAAAGTGACTGGCCCAAAGTCACCCAGCTGGCTTTCATGGCTAAGATCAGATTTGAACTCACAGTCTCACGCTTTCTAGACTAATGCCTTAAGCATTAGACCAAACAGGCTCTCGCACACATAGGAACACATGCAAGATTTATCTTGTTGCCCTTGTGATTTATTTTATTTATTTATTTTGCCATTTTGGTGATAGAATTAGCTAGGAACATATACAACTGACCTTAGACCAGGGGTGTCAAACTCACAGCCTCACGGCTGCATCACATGACATATTGCGACTTTTTCCCCTTTGCTAAACTGGGCGTGGCCAGCGCATGATGCATCCGGCGAGGCTGTGAGTTTTGACAGCCCTTGCCTTAGACGCAAGACAGAATAAATGCATAGTGTTCTGACCCAGCCTTCACAAGCAATGAGAAACTGCTTACTCATGAGTAACACAACCCCTTTTTTATTTAAGTCGGGGTAGCAATAGTCTTTGTTTATGTTGGATAAACAAAACCAAAATTAACGAGTCACAAATGAAAGTCTTTTCCCCTTCTAAAAACAGGGCAAGGAATAGTCTCTGTTCAAATCAGCCGAGGCAAATTCACTCCGCTATTTCCCAGCAGGGAGATTCCATTGGCACTTCAAATACAGAGCAATTAGTCCCAACAAACTTAGTTCTGGCAAAGGAATCTGATGTGATTGATGTACGCTGGAAAACGAACAGTTGTCTGCAACAATTACCCACTCCCAAACCCTTACTATTTATTTCCCAGCCAGGAAGGGCCTGGCATGTATGTCTTCTTTTTCCTGAGAGCCGGCCTATTGCTTTCTGTTGCTCTCCTCTCCTTCCCTCTCTATGCAGATGTGCATCTGGGATGGGGCCCATCTGTTCCTCTCCCACTCAGCTCAGGCCCCAAAGACAGCGGCCTCTCCACCTTAGCGAGGGGAGCGGGGCAGAAGGCCCCGGCTCTGCATCTGCCTCTGATCTTGCTTCCTCATCAGACCCTTCCAAAGGCTCCAAAGCCCACCCAGGCTCCCCCTCAACCTCATCTGGCTGCTGCTAACTCTGCTGGCAGCCGACGGGCCACAACACACAGTTGTATGATACAGTGCACGTTAATGCATCAGAAAGTAAGCTTCATTTAACTAACTTCTGTGTACATCAGTGGTGGGTTTCAAAAATTGTTTGAACCTACTCTGTGGATGTGGCCTCCTTTGTGGGAGTGGCTTGCTGCCCATGTGACCGGATGGGAGTGGCTTGCCGCCCATGTGACCGGATATGANACTGGTGGAACCTCTTCTAACCGGTTAGCAGATTTGCCGAACCGGTTCTACCGAATAGGTGCGAACTGGTAGGAACCCACCTCTGCTCTTAGTCCTTCTCTAGACTAGGCAAACCCAAATCCTGCATATTTCTTCATATGTTTTAGTCTCCAGGCCTTTAATTATCTTTTTTCCAAAATTTCCAGCGTTTTTTTTTTTGCAATGTGGTGCCCAAAATTGGATGCAGTATTCCAGGTGTGGTCTTACTAAGGATTTATAAAGCAGTACTAATACTTTACGTGAATTTGATTGTATGCCTCTGTTTATACAACCAGGTATTGTATTAGCCATTTTGGCTGCTGTCGCATCCTACTGGCTCATATTTAAATGACTGTCCACTAGGATTCGAAGGTCCCTCTCACAGTGGCTGTTTTGGAGTCAGATTTTGCCTAATCTGTACTTTCATTCCCAAAAGAGAATGAAACTGACCAGTTATGATTAGATCAGTGTTTCTCAACCTTGGCGACTTTTTAAGGTACTGTTAAGCTGCGCTGGCTGGGGGATTCTGTGAGTTGAAGTCCACAGGACTTAAAGTTGCCAAGGTTGAGAAACACTGGATTAGATGTTCTGCAGAAAGGAGATGTTCTGCAGAAAGGAGATAATGCCTGTCTCCAGATTTTTTTCTGCTTAATTAATTATACCCATGTGCCTTTTTTCTTAGACGAGATTTGTGCATTATTTGTTTATGTATTTATGTATTTAAATTTGCCACCCCTCTCATTAGCCAAAGAGGAGCCTTACAATGCCATAAAAGCATATTTTTAAAAACATTAAAGTTAACCCCAAATAAATACAGCTAGTCCTCGACTTACAATCACAAGTAAGCTCAAAATTTCTGTTGCTAAGCAAGAGTTTGGCTCCATTTTATGACCTTTCTTGCCACAGTTGTTAAGTGAATCACTGCAGTTGTTAGTAACGCGGTTGTTAAGCAAATCTAGCTTTCCCGTTGACATTGCAGCCATCATAAATACATGCCAGTTGCTAATTTTGCAATGGTCGTAAGTATGAAAAATGATCATATGTCAATTTTTTCAGTGACGTTGTAACTTCAAATGTTCACCAAACAAACAGTTGTAAGTTGAGGACTATCTGTAAAGGCTAAAAACCAAGAGGATGAAGCCATATGTGGGTGGGTTTTTATATCTCACTTGACCAACTATTCCCAGCATAGAGCGCTTCCATATCAGTACCCCATGTCAACCAGAAAAGCTAGGATTTAAGGCACTTCTGAAAGGACATAAAAGAGATGGATCATACTTCTGGTGGCAGGATGTTCCAGAGGTCACAGCAGAGAAGGCCAATGGGGTCTAATGGAGGCCTCTTCTGTAGGGGCAGGTGGGGCNTGGTCACATGATCAAAATTCCTGTGCTGACTCATATTTATGACGGGTTGCAGTGTTCCGTGATCCTGTGATCATCTTTTGTATGTCACCTTCTGACAAGCAAAGTCAATGGGGAAGCCAGATTCACTTAACCGCCATGTTACTAACGTAACAGCTGCACTGATTCAGTTAACAACTGTGGCAAGAAAATACAGACATGGGACAACATTCACTTAACAACTTAGCAACAGAAATTTTGGGCTCAATTGGGGTCGTAAGTCGAGGACTACCTGTACCAAGATGCAACAATGAAATCCCCAGTTATGAATAACAGATTTGTACTTGTCCTCCTTAAAAAAGAGTAAGTGTTGGCTTGTTCCCAGGTTTCTGGAAACCAGCATGAAGAGCTGCAAAATGTGCGGAAGCATATACACTCCTGTTTCACCAACATCTCCTGTTTCCTTTTACCTCATCCGGGCTTGAAAGTAGCTACAAATCCCAATTTTGATGGGAAACTCAAAGGTGAGTTCATTGGCATTAGTAAGAAACTGAGATGAGAGGAAGAGGAGGGAAGGAAGATAGAGAGCGGTAAGGAGAACAAGATGGAAGGGAGAAGGAGAGAGAGTAGGAAGGGGAAGAGGAAGAGAGGAGTAGGGGAGAGGGAAGGGAAGAAGGAAGGGGAAGGAGAGGGGAAGGAAGAAAGTAGAGAAGGGAGGGAGGGAGAAAACAAAGGGAAAAGAAGGTGGTGTGAAAACAGGCGAGGGATGGTAAACAAAGCAATCCAAAAGGTATGTTGTTATAACCCTGTAAATGGAATGACAAATGTAAAAAAGAATAATAACTATGTGAATGTATACATATAATTGTATACAGGGAACAAAAAAATAAAAAAAAACTTTTCAAAAAATAAAACACAACCAACCAGCACAAAAACTGAGGTAGAATTCACAGCTACCAGTTGGAGGTGTTGTATCATAGACCAATTTGAGGCAGGGTTTGCAGAAGTGTGTGTGTGTGTTTGTGTGTCTATCGCTGTTTTAGGGATAACATTCATTTTCAACCAATCGGAATAGAGCAGGAGGGGACCTTGGAGGTCTTCTAGTCCAACCCCCTGCTCAAGCAGGAGATCCTATACCACTTCAGACAAGTCACTGTCCAGTCTCTTCAAAACCTCCAGTGATGAAGCACCCACAGCTTCTGACAACAAGCTGTTCCTCTGGTTAATTATTCTCATTTCTCAGGAAATTTCTCCTTGTTTCAGGTTGCTTCTCTCCTTGATTAGTTTCCATCCATTGTTTCTTGTCCTACCTACAGTTTTTTTGCTTTGGTAAATAAGCTGAGCCCTCCCTCCTTTTTGTGGCAATCTCTCAAATACTGGAATACTGCTCTCATGTCACTCTTAGTCAGTGGTGGGTTTCAAAAATTGTTCAAACCTCTGTGGGTGTGGCCTCCTTTGTGGGAGTGGCTTGCTGCCCATGTGACCAGATGGGAGTGGCTTGCT